GAAAATCCCATTGATTCATACCCTCTGGTAAAACTAACATAGCTATGGAAAATCACCATCTTTCATAGGTCAATCAACTATAGATAGGCCATTTTCAGCTTAATTAAGTGCCTATGACACTGCTGCTTTGCGGGAGACGAGGGCCATGATGCAGGGCAAATCCTTTGCGACGCCCTGGCAAAAAATAGGCCATTTTCACCCATGTTCAATAGCTATGTTAAATTACCAGAGGGTATATCCCATTAAATCCCATTAAACCACCATTTTCAATGGGAAAATCCCATGTTATTGATGGGTTCAATATGAAAACACACCCATTCTTTCACTGGTGGAGCCAGGTTTGGCGCAACAACGCTTTGAAGGTGGGCGACAGCTTGGTCTTGACCAAGCCGTTCCGTGGCGGAACCAGGGATCCACATGGTCATCCCCGATCCCCATCTGTTGCATGATCATGATCCCATATCCCATATCTACCCCTATCAAGGTATGATGATTATGATGATTATGATCTTATGATGATCCCACGTCATCCCATCTCATCGCTATGATCCACATCTGTATGATGATTATGATTCGCACATGTTCACATGACTTTTTGGGGCTTTCAATGGAGAACCTGTATCAAAACAGATGGATGCAAAATGATAGAAATGGAGCCCTAGCAGCCAAGGATCGGAACTGGCATTCTGGGCACTGCACAGAAGAGAGGTCCGGGATTCAGAGATCGTTGACATCGTAGCTTGTGGGTGGTGAGAAGTTGCACCAGTTGAGGTCTTTTGGAAGCAGGGGCCAAGAAACAGCTGCAGGAGACCTTGTTTCGGACCCAGACGTGGTCATAACATGCCTCAGCAAGGGGAAGGATGAAGATCAAAACATCCGTTGTAATGTGTAATCACTAGACGGTAGACGGGGGAGATGTTGAAAAACAATGATGAACACTGATAGAAACTTGGAGGTAAATGTTGGTCCTTGGTGTCCATTCGGTGAATTTACCATTTATGGGTAGTGATTGAAATCTGGAACCACCTTTGGGTACCGTAAAATTTGAGCAATTGTCTCGCATGAATCCGCCAGCACTGAAAAAAACTAAGGGCATGGACCCAGGATGACCGAATGAACGGGACCCAACGCCATGCAACGCCCAGGTTGCAACTCAACAAAACAGCCGCCGAAGTAGCCCAAGCCGATTCAGAGGTGCGAATCCAATAATAGAAGACCGCAAAATAGTGGGAGGGCAGTGTGGCCACTTTCAACATCATATGACATCATATCTTATATTGTTTTATGACTGGTTGGTGGTTTGGAACATTTTATCTATTTATTCCATATGTTGGGAAGGTCATCATCCCAACTGACAAAGTCATATTTTTCAGAGGGGTGGCTCAACCACCAACCAGTATGATGTTCTCACCATTGAAATGCGTGAAATCTGTCCGTTGCGTTCAGGTCCATGCAGCCACTGATGTCACCGGCTTTGGATTGCAACCAAGTGGCACAGGGTGCAGGATACCAGGTGAAAAAATGTGGCTAGAACTTGGGAATTACCATGGAATTACCGTGGTTGGGTATTGTTGGTTGGGATATGGGGCCACAACTATGGCGAGATATATCCAATTACAACTGGAACTGTGACCCCAAATGCAACATACCAGGGGATATGTTTCTCAAGAAAGGATCAGGGACGGAGGTAGTCCAAGGACACTTAACGCGGCTGGAAATTCCATAGAGATCTCCGTGTCCGATAGATAGCCTGAGCTGGCGCTCAAAATGCGCGACAGAACATACCCTCTAGTAAAGGTTTACATAGTGAACTGGAAAATAACCATTTGTCATGGGTACTATTTCTATGGCCATTTTCAACAGCTATAAATTACCAGAGGGTATATATTACATAGCTTTGAAATGAGTAAGTCATCATTGACAGGTCCGGACTATTTTCCCGGCAACCATGTTAGAGTACCAGATTCTACATCCTGACTTATTCCTTGATTTGTCAAGAATAATACATTACATGTTGTTCCCGTTTTGGGAGGGCTCAACTCAACTTCCCATCAGTTTTTATACCAGTAGTACCGCACAAGGCGGTGCCAGAAGTTTCAAAGATAGGAAACCATAGGAGAGGTGAGTTGTTGTGATGCATGGATGGCAGAGCGAAACCACTGATGTACTGTAGTGTAGTTGTAGTTATAATTTATTGTAGTTCTAGTCGTAGTTGTAGTTGTAGGCGTAAGCGTGAGTGTAGTGTATGTAGTGTAATTGTACTTGTTGTAGTCTAGTGATGTCTAGTGTAGTCTAGTGTAGTCTAGTGTCGTTGTAGTTGTTGTGGGTGTAGTGTAGTGCTAGAGATAGTGCTAGTGCTACTAGTACTAGTACCAGTACTAAGCAGAAGCAGAAGCAGAAGCAGTAGTAGTAGTAGTAGTAGTAGCAGTAGTAGTAGTAGTAGCAGTAGTAGTAGTAGTGGTGGTAGTAGTAGTAGTGGTGGTAGTAGTAGTAGTGGTGGTGGTAGTAGTGGTGGCAGTTGCAGTTGTAGTTGTAGCTGTAGCTGTAGCTGTAGCGTAGTGGTTAGCGTAGGTGAAAGTGTAAGTGTGGGTGTAGTGTAGTTGCATTTGTAGTTGTAGTTGTATTTGCGTGCATTTTTTCGATATCTCAACGTCCTTAAAGGTGTTCCGAGACCGTCAATGCTTAACACTTTTGACTTGCAAACGTGCTTCGTGCCACAGCGGCGTGCAATTTTTCGACATCTCAACTTTCAAAAGTGGACCGAACATGTGGTGCTTTTTGCATTTTGATTTGGACATGTGCTTCACGCCACAACAGCGCGCACTTTTTGAAGATCTTAACGTCCAAAAATGCTCCGAGAATGATGTGTTTTGCGCATTTTGACTTCGAAATGTGCTTCGCGCCACAACGGCGCGCTATTTGTCATCTCTCATTTGGCCAGCTGGCTCCGCACCCGCCGCTTTAGCAAGCCTACTTTTCGATCCTCCAGAGCCACAAATCACTGGAAAAACACAGTGTTTCGCGACTTTCTACTGTCTCTTCCCACCTCTGCTTTTTATTGCTTTTTCATCTGTCGTCATCTGTCCATAATCTCGGAAGTTTGACTTATAAACTTCCTTCGATCGCTGCTGATGCAGCACCCCAACAAATTCCAAGGCTGGGACATTTAAAGGAGATGCTGACACCGGAAGATGTCGAACCAGCGGCAAAAAAGGTGCTGTTGGGGTTGGGGTCCATGTTGGCACGCTAAGTTTTCAGTTTTGGCAAATGTCCGTTTCTGTGAAAAAAAAGTGCCCGAAATTCAGCGGTTTGATACTTTGTAGTAATAATTTTCCATGATTGTTCTCGCATCAAGATTGCCATGTTTCATCATGTTGGCAGTTGGCAAGTATATATACATTTACATGTTTGAATTCCTGTCTTCCACGGCCATGTCTTCATCCCCATGGGGACTATGGGAGTGGGATACCTCCACAACCAGCTCTGATTCTAGTGATCGCACCTTGCATTTTCGAGCTATCAACGCTTTTCAAAGGGACAAATCTCAAATTTACAGCAGGTATTTTTCATTTTTTTTGTCATTTCTAAGTTGGACCGGGACCCGCTTCACGTCGCAGGCCAAACATGAGAACGGTCACAATGGCGCAGGCACATGGACATTTTGTTTTTTCTTCTTTGTGGCATGAATCTTGACTTATTTTGGCGTGTGTTTCCCGTATGTTGCTCCTAAGTACTGGGCAGCTGTCGTAGATCACATGTTTGGCCACGCACGTTTTTGGCTACCGAAGGCACAATTGAGATGGACTGAGGCTCCCAATTGACTGCTGTGATCACTGCCAAGGCCGGGAGAAGGTTGCCGAAAAACACTTATTTTTGACGGCCTGTAGATGTATTTGAGATGTTTCAGTAGGTTCTGAATAGATGTTTCAGTAGGCCAGTAACCTTATAATTACACATGATGGATCTTGGTGCGTGCCCATTCATGTGAAAATATGTGAAGAAACGCATGCCTCTTGATTTTTTTTGTGCATCTCGATATTTGTACCTTTTTGGGGTAAAGAACCCCACAACAAGTGCTTGGCCAACCCCTGACCTCAACACCTGATGCCCATTTTAACCATGCCAGGCGGTACCTTTGCTCCAACAGGACATCGGGTGTATGGGGGAGGTTGCCAGTAACAGGATGGAAGCATCCATTGACCAATGATATACTGAAAATGAAATGAAATCCTTTAAGTCACCATTAGAGGTGCCCGCGGCACAGCTGGGGCAGGGAGACCTGATGGTGATGGAGGGAGAGAGATAGAGACCATTGTTTTCCTATCATAAGATCCCATTGATGCTCTCACCATTTTCCATCATTCCAGAGTTTTCCCTAGTATGTTCCCTATGATTTCCCAGCATTTCTTGCGGATTTTCCACCCACTTCGCGCGAGGCCAAAGAGCTGGCGGTGGATGATCAATGCGTGCCCCGGAGCAACGCGTTGTTCAACGGTGCCATGGAGGATGGAATGAAAAAACCTAGTTTGATGACATGTTAAATGGGATTAACACGGATTAACCATCAATTCTTGCGGGTTGAACATGTTCTAGCTAAATTTTGATATTTTAAAACGGATTCATTAACCATCAAGTATGGTGGTTCGAGCATCAAACATATACACATGATAAATGGGATTGACCATAAGTTATGGGTGGGTTTAACATATTTAAAACATCAAAATTCTAGTGATATACAATTGATATATGATGTTTGGTTGATGGTTAGGGGTTTATACATGTTTAGATTACCTTATATGGGGAGGGAGAGTCAGAGAGAGGCGGAGAGAAAGAGTCGAAAGAGAGAGCGAGAGAGAGAGAGAGAGAAACGACCCTTTACAAAGGGATTAGCACCATCCCTTCTTGGAATCTCTATCAACCAGCCAGCAACCCGGCAAAGAGTGAAATTGTCCAAGGGGCGATCCAAAGCTGGCCATGTGGTTCAAAAGATTAGTTCCTGTTCTAAGATGTTCTAAGGTCATGAGTCAATTCTAACTCGGCTCATATGGATTTGTTTGAAAGTAGGTGCCCCCAAAAAAAATGATGGTACACTGCTGCATGTGCCTGTCTAAGGCATCATTCTACTTTGGATTCAGTAGTTCGCGCTAGCCGCCAGCCCTACCATCCCTTGAATTCTCTGAGTTCTCCAATCCTTCTCCCGGCTGCAGGTGACTCAAATAGGTTGCAACCTTCATGATACACGTGATGAGATGTAATGAATGAGCACATATGTATAATAACATATGTTTTTTCATGGTTGGCTAACTGGGTATGGATCAATACCTATTAATACCATTTTTAGTGGGATGAACATCCATTTACCAGCTATTTTGATGTTCACCAGGGGTACAAGGTTTTGACACACTGCCATATGTTTTTTTCATGGTTGGCTAACTGGGATGCTGAGCCGAGTAAGTGGGCGGTAGTTTGACCAAGTTCGAGCAGCACAGGTCCCTGGCGGTTCCCTGAATAATTTGAAGCTGGTGGAAGCGACCACCTGTTTCAAGGAGGCAATTGGGTGATGGTAGGAACCGGTGGGTTGAATGGGAATGGAGGGAACAAGGTACCCTCGGGTAATTTAACGTAGCTATTGAAAATGACCATTTATAGTGGATTTACCCATTAGTAATAGTGATTTTCTATAGCTACGTTAGTTTACCAGAGGGTATTAGGAATGGTGATTTCAACAACGATGATACATCACGATATATCCACATTCGTTTGTTTTGATGATAGTTGCTGTCGAAAAATTCTGATGCCTACTTTTCAAGAGTGATTTTCTCACATCGTCAATGGGGTAGCCACCAGGACATATATAGGGATGCAATGCAATCATTACACAGGCTGTACTTGACATGAGCGGCGATTTTACCAAAGCATATATGGACGGAATATGACGGAACTAGGTAGATCGATACATGGATGGATGGATAGATAGGACGTGTCTCCATTTGTTAAGTCTGAGAGCTGCACCCCAGCATGCTGCAGGGAGTCTCCAAAGAAATGCGAATTCTCTTGGCGGACGTGGCAGCCTCAGGCCGTTCGACGGGGCGTTTTGTTGTTGGCGAAGCGGCCGCAAAAACCCGAGGCCCAAACCTCTGGAGGACTTCTTTTGGCCCGAGCCCTGGAAGGCGAAGGTGAAGAAATGCATTTGTATGCATTTGTGGGATACAGGGATACATATTGGGATGACGTGCTTACACGTTGTGTGCATACATAAAAGAAAAAACATATCAGTAAACATATGTATTTATTATTGTTTATTCATATGTGTACTGCACATGTATATAGTTATATAATGTTATATATATGTATAGTTTATGTATATATGTGTGTATATTGATATGTTAGATTATGTTAGTATATGCAGCGTAAGATCCAGTACATGCATTTGTGGTAGAGATCCTTTGCGCCAACGGTGGTTCACCACAGATTTTCCTGAGGCCATGGGCTGGGTTGATGTGTTTGGATGTGTTTGTTTTAGTCCACGGGAGTTGATGTGTAATCTGCGGTGGTTTTTAAATGTATCGTTAATGTGACAAAATTTACCCTCTGGTTATTTAACATAGCCATGGTATAGATGGCCCATAGAAATAGATGGTTTACCTGGGTTTACCTATTAAAAATGGTGTATCTTTCCATGGCAAACTGTTAGTCATAACCAGATGGTAAATGGCTTGTGGCCGAGTGGCCGGGTGGTTCCATCAGGCTGTTGGCGGAGATGGTTCCAAGCTGGTGGTTGAGACCTCAGGGCTTGCTGGCGGCTAGAGAAGATGTTTTTCCTATTGCTTGTTTTGTAGCGATTATAGCTATTAATTAGATACATTTATATACTATATGATCATATCTATATACTGTATGCGCATGTGTATATACTATATATGTATATATTATGTGTGTATGTTTATATATATATATACGTGTGTGTGTGTATGTGTATATCTGTATATATATATATATATATAGCGCATATATATATATAGCGTGAGTATAATGTAGAAGTTTACTAGTGCCTGTATGAAGCTATTCATTGGGAACTGTCCTGGCGTAGTTTGGCGCATTTTCCTCGTTTTCGATTCATAGTGTTAGCTATTTGCTTGTGCGGGCTAATGCCCAGTTTTTGCTACTAGAGCTCGGAACTTTTCCCAGGTCCTGCTGTATATTATTTTGAGATCCATAGATTCAAGATATTGCCCATGTTGGGAAAATTGGGAAGACTGTCGGAAGACTACAGTAGTTGGATGTTCAGAAGCTAGACTTTCCACACAACTGGTGAACCTGATTATCTCTAACGTCCTTGCTTGGTTCAATAGGTTTCCATGCCAAAAAAGAAGGAGTAACATGGAACCCTCTAAACTTTCAAAATTCTGGTTGAATCGTAGCGACTGGATTACAACGAGGCAGCGCCCCCAAAATCGAATTATTTCAGGTTGCTGACTTATATATTTCGTTTCAACCAGATGAAGTCTTTCAAAAACCATCTCATCTCATGTTTATCATTGGTCGGCTGAATTAAAAACTGATCATTTTTACAAGGTGAGGCCCTCCAAAGTTATGTTTGTTGCTTTATAAAGCGATTAATTATACTTATATCCCCTTGAAGCCAAACGTTAACCAAGTTATTTGGGGTGCCTAACCTTGATGGAAAAGATGACTTGACCTTCATTAGCTGAGGCAGCCCTGCACAAGGCCCTCTATCAGCCTTGAAGCTCCGGGATGGCGATGGAGACACGGATCATTTCTTCGGGGTCAAATTCCATGAGTCCTGTGACCAAATGATATTAAGAACCACCCAGAGGGTCCGGTGGAATGTCGAGCGGCAAGTCACGCAAGCAGACTTTGAACCTCAAGGCCTAGCTGAGGAATCATTCCCAAATGGCAAAATCCAGACTTTTGAATAGTAATTGTCTCCCAACAAAACCCCAAAACAATGCAAAGAATCCCAATGAATTGTGATGGACTTAAAAATTGCCCAGATCCAGAGGCTGTTTCTTGGGGGATCCGGGTAGCCTCCAGGCTGGACTGACGCAGACAGCCAAAATCGGCGAGGCGAAGTAGACCCCTGTGCGTTTTAGTACTTGCCAAAACGTCAACTGCTTAGAGTCTGTAGGCTTTAATAATCTTTATATAATATGGAACCCACTTAAAGTCCAACTATCATCAACTATCCAGTACTAAGCTTAATAAAATACATCAAAATATCCAACAAAAAAACAGGTGGAATTTCTGAGGCCCCATTTCTTGAGGGTGCCCTTCATATTGCAGGTCCAGGCGTCTGCCTCCGGGCCGAGCATTGTCGTTGAACCCTGATGCAGAAAGCTGACACAGACACAGCTTGCATCGAAAAAGGGGCCTCGGCGACATGGGTTCAGAAGAAAAAGTGATGTTGCGGGAGACATATATGGATAATGTGCACATAATCACGTACAAAAACATGTTGCATGCTTGTATATTTATGTACAGAACACACGCACACACGCACGCATATATATATATATACATACACATGTGCATCACCACTTCTGCAGTTTGGCAGGTGTCCTGAAGTTGCGAGCAACTGTTGACTAGTCAAGTAAGTGTCCACGTGCGTTTGTGAGATGCGTTGAAATATTGTTAAATGCCGCGGGTCGGATTTCACCAGATCCTGATACATGCCGTGTGCTCCATCGCTGTGTCAGCATTTCAAGCTGTTTTCTTACCGGCCCGGGGACGGAGTCATGGGCTCTATTTACTCACGCTCATCAAGGCTTAGTGAGATGCAGCCATACATTCCCATGTGGGTCACTTGGTGGACCTTGAAGACTTAGCCATCCGGGAGCGGTTCACCCGATCCCCACATGAAAACTGCTCTTAAAATGGGACCGTTTATTTATATATATATATATTAATAATATATATTAATATAAATATATATATATATACATATACATATATATTGTTTGAACATATCCAAGAATAGAGCTGTTGTGGCAGATTTACAAGCAGCAGGGGTCATTCCCCATCCTTTTGGGTGTCAAACCCAGAGGAATGGTTGTCGCCAAAAATGGTCAATGACTCCCCAAAATTTAGCAGCCCTGAGGTTTATCAATCTGCGATCGTTGCAGCATTGTAGACCTGTACATCAAAGGCCGTGAACTCGACTGCCAAGGTGATGAAGGTCTCCGACTTTCTGCAGATGACGCTTCCGCTGCCAAAACATGAAGATTTGCTGGAGAAAGGCCAGGTGGTTGGAGCTGAGAATGGTAATGAATTCATCTCCTGATCCGTAAGAACCCTCGGAAATGGGACCGGAAACAGGCCTGCGAAACCAAGCTGTCTTGGGGGTTGCGAGCATCGCAGATGGCATGGAGTGAAATGGAGAATCTATGTGGTTCATGAATAGAAGCTTAGAGGCTTAGAGATGTTATCCCGATGGAACAATCCATCAATAGTTAATAAGTATTATACAATAAGTGGTATACCAACCTGGCTTCTATTTGTTTCCTAAAAGGACGTTTCTGGACATGATATTTGGGTCCCAGGTGCGCGACAGGTTGATGACTGTTAGGCTTTCTATTGCTACCCGGGAGACCTTTTGCCCGAGTATCCCGAGTTGCTTGATGCCCAGGATTGGTTGAGACCACAAAAAACATATGTACCAGAATGCATGTAGATCTATGAATATGGAGATACATACATGTGGATATAGACACATCTTGATATATAAGTATATATATATACATTTACTTATGTAGTATAATTATATGATACAATGATATCATGTATGTATATATATATATATATATGTGTGTGTGTGTAGCAAACAGAGTGCCCCACCAATATCGACCGATGTGCCTGTACCCTTGGGGGAAGACATGCTGCGATGGCGAGGACTGCTACATCAACAGACACCATCCTGCTATTGCAGCTCTGGAGATTAGCAATCGTGCTTTTCATGAAATCAGTAGGGACCAACTGAAAACAATAGATGTTCCAGTATGCATTTGTTTTAAATTTGTGATATTCCAGCGGGGTAGGTAGGAATCACATAAGCCAAGCCAATAGGACTGGAGCGATTTCGGTGCCAGGACAAGTGAGTCGATCCGATCGGACCAGCTTAGTCCTTTTTCATCTTTTGCTGTAACTGGGGTACGTATTGCAGTAATCAGGAATCAGTTTTTTCAAGAAAAAATGCTGGCTACCTGAGATTGCTTTTGGGGTTTGCATCGCTGCCTGGCATCCAGTTCCATTCCAGGTAGCGAAACAATGGGAACTGGGTGGCTTATTACATAAAGCCATGTAACTATATATATATGTGGTACATATGCCTTTGCAGAAGTGTAGAATGTACAGTACAAGATAATTTATATATAGTGCAAACTATTTGACTTTATATATCCATATATGTACTGTATATGTATACGTATATATTTGTATGCACATGGGTATGTATACACATATGTGTGTATGTGCATATGCATGTGCCTATTTATTTTGAGATATGACGCCCACATAGGCAGTAGGTAGCTATGTTTGGCCACACAGTGGACAACAAGAATGCGGCTGAGGCATTTTCGTGTCTCACCAGTGGCTGTCCACCGCTCATCCAGATCCCGAGGGGAAACAGCTGAAGGTGCTGCAAAATTGTCACCCAGATTCGAACACAGCGCCTGATTGGTCCAAGAAATTCAGGGCGTTGAGGGCAAAAAGATCTGGAGACTTCCATTTTTATCATTTTCGGGGAACCTGTTTGTTTCGGCAGGATGTTGGAGAAGCTGTTTTTCTCCGAAAGATGACAATCGTCTTGTTAGAAATTGAGCATTTTCGTTGGGGATACCATACTTTTACATACTTTTGACCGTGGCTGGAACTGCCAAGCTGCTGAGTTACAAGGTTTGCAGGGGATCATTGAACGTCGGCTGGACGTCATGAACGATGCCGCCTCACAGCTTCATGGTGAGTTCAAGAAATTGCCACTCAGCTGCATGTGAGTAATAATGAGTATTTCTAGGAGTTCAAGTATCTACTCTGGATTTGCCGTATGTGTATAGGTTCATTTGTCATTATATGTGAATATGTGAATATATGCGTGCAGTTACTTATTACACACACACACACCCACATATATGTATATGTATAGTATATCCAGTCTTGAAGAGCCATACGCACATATATATATATATATATTCGGTATACTATGAAAGTCCTTAATCGCCGAAGCTATTCCAAGTTTCCCTGAGATTCTCCCCATCCCAGATCTTGAAGATATCTATTGTTTGTTTTGTTGGTGGCTCGGCCATCGGGGTAGGATGCCAAACAAGGGGTCATGACCTGTATTGCAAAATGCAGATCATTATGCTTCCGAAGGCATTTTTCATTGGTGCGAGCGGGAAATCGTAACAGTGGCCTTGTCCATTGCTATTTGCAGTGAATTTGAGCCACGTAGTCAAAAAAGGAAAAAACACAGAAAATAACGTATTTGCTTCTGCTTTTTAAAGGCTACGCTCTTCCAACTTCAAGTAACTTAGAAGACGCTCTTGATGCTACGCACTTCCAACTTCATGTAACTTACAAGACGCTCTGGATGCTACGCTTGTCAAACTTTCTCGACTTGTCAAAGGACTATCGTGGCTGTATGCTCTGCAACTGTGACGCAGATGGCACGTGAATGAAAAAGAATGAACTCTGCATGAATCCCATGTCATATTATCTGCAAATCATCCCACTTACTGAGTCAGTGATGATGATGATGATGATGATGGTGATGATGATGATGATGAGGAGGAGGAGGAGGAGGATGAGGATGATGAGGAGGAGGGTCATGCTGCTGCTGCTGATGATGATGATGATGATGGTGATGATGATGGTGATGGTGATGGTGATGGTGATGGTGACGTTGATGATGACGATGATGATGGTGGTGCTGTTGATGATGTGCTCGGATGGCGTTGTAACCCGATGTCTGAGTGTTGTTACTGGTATTAGGTACACTTATCGCTATGACTTATTGTTTGCGTTGCTCTGACTCACATGGCACTAATCATTGTATTTTTTTTCTTGAACGCCAATCCACCAGAGATCATTTTCTCCCTATGGTAGTGAAGAACCCCTTCGTAACAAATGGGTTGTTTAGGGAAACCACCCATCTCTGGCCAGGTCTAGCGACCAACAAGCACGAATCAAGGCGCAGTTTGGGCGGGTCAGGGGCTAATGTCACGGTGGGATCAGGAAAAAAAAACACCAGCCACCAAGGGTTGGTTGAACCCCCCCGAGATATAAGTTGCTTTGTAAACCCGAAGTTTTTTCTCCACCAGAAACCATAGTGAACATTGTTATACATCAACTTAGCTAGGTATGGGGCAGCACCTTGCACTAGAGGTTGGCTGAATCCCCATGAGGATTTTTGTTCATCGTCAGGAAGCAAAGACAACATGTCATAACATGGGACATCAGGTGGCCATAAGTGAGCTACTGTCGCTGGACGAAAAATGGAGAAATGCCCATCTCAGAATTGGTTCCTCAGTTTGGAAAAACCCAGCACAATCTCGAACCACCAACGAAGATGTCCAGAAGCAACCTCATAAAATCCCGGCATCTTGCCAGTTCAACCTCATGAACTCCTCATGTTCATCATCAACAAGTTTGCCCCTGGACTTTTGTCCCCAAAAAATCGCATTCCATGGTAACCTCAATAGATCTAATCAGTTTTCTCAAAAATTGCATGCCTTCATAGGTCACCGGAACCTTCATAGGTCACCGGTGCCAGGACGCCTATTTGTGGCTGGATTGGATCAGCATCCCTCAGATCGTCGAGGACAGCGAAACCTCGGAGGGCGACGAGAGCCGCGAGATCTCGGGCCGGCTGCGGCGCCGCTCGCGCGGCCTGCGGATGTCGCTGAGGAGCTTCCGTGGCTTGGATGGTGATGTGGGGGCCCCGGAGGCTGGGGGAAAGGTGAAGAAAGGGAGAGTCACAAAGTGAACTGACACAGTTTGGAACACTGATGGGCTACTGATATAATGGGATAGCATGGGGCGTTGAATCACCAGAACATTCGGAATCCAGTATGAAAATACCAAGTCAACCAAAATGGTGAAGAACACATTTTGGTAAATCAAACATTGCAATGGAAAATCCTATGTCAATGGTAGTTTACAGCCAGGAACATCATCTATCAATTGGTGGGTTTTCCAGCTAACTACGTTTGATTACCAGAGGGTAGTTTAAGCCTTTAACTTTCTGCCATAATTGACCGGAGGGGGATTTGTTTTTTGTCGCTCAGGCAAGACATGAAAATTTCAATTTACCATCGGACGCCCCTACAACGAAGAGGGAACGGTCAGAAAATGGAATTACAAAAAAAATGTATCGCCGGAAATTGCAACTCTGGGTTTCCTGTTATTCTCACGGTAGTAAAAGTCTTATTTGTAGTGGTTTGTCATGAGCCAACAATGGAAAAAAAGCTGTGGATACCCCATGACTTGGAACGATGTTGGAAGATGGTGAAGTAAGATTTCGAAATTTAAAAGCTGGCACCGGGGGAGAAGATGTCAAATGTTGCAAGATTTTGCAAGATCACATGATATTTGTTGTTTTTGATTAAATGTTTGCTGCGTTTCTTAGCAAGAGAGCAGTGACACTATGCTTGTTTCATCTGGGGCTGACAACCTTCCAAGGATATCGAAGTCCAGGTGGGCATAGCTACAAACTCACTGAGCAAGAGGACAGGTGTCACAGGTATCGCTCCAAGAGGTTGGAAATTATAATTATCCATTGGGATTTCAATGGTATATAATAATGCCACGTTGATGGGATTAATGGGGATTGAAGAGATATACGTTGATCCGTTTTTTGGCCAAACATGAAGATAGAATGTGAAGGGTTTTGTTTGATCAACGAGTCTGTGTCTTTATTCCCCAGGGCCAACATTTACATACCCTCTGGTAAACATACAAAAAGCTATTGAGGGTTGCCATTTATAGTGGATTTTCCCATTAAAAATGGTGAATGTCCACAGTTATGTTAATTTACCAGAGGGTAGATGTGGAATTTTCATGAATTTTCCACCATTAGTAGATCATTTTCCTAAGGAAACCATATGGGTTTTCCACACCTAAGCGCCGCCTCAGGAAGGTTTCATGAGCTGTGCTCAGATGATGAGTTTGATTGGTTCCATTAAAGAGATTGTCGTGTCTATATGGAATATATATATATAATGTTATGTTGATATTTATGTAATTTTATACCTATCTCAATGTACATACATATATATATACACATGTATTTGACAGCACATATGTAAATAATTACTGTAAATATATGCAACCATCAGTATGTAAACGTGTATGTGTGTATATATATACACTTATATATGTATATGTGTGTCTGTGTATGTTTTTGTTGTTTTGTTTTGCTATGTCCACACACAAGTACATAAATAATCATAAATACAAACATATGTATATATATATATATATTAACATTATACACACAGTACACACACCGGATGTGTGCATCAAAAATATGCATCTAGATGCAGGTACGTATATATAGTATATGTATATAACGACGTGCTGTTCTTTCGATTTACAACAGCAGCAGGCTAAGATATTTTTGCTTGAACTGTTGCACCTCCTTTACCCTGCAGACGATCCAAATGCATCCTTAGCGCAATTTTTGGCAGAAACTCCCGGAAATCATGTGAGCAGCATGGTGAGTTGTAACCCCCTATTGGATAACCCAATGGAAACGTTGTTTGTCGCATGGGATTTTGCCCGTTGAGAGATATGGTGGTATTTCATCCCAGGGATTGATTGGATTCATTTACCATAAATGGATGCTATTTTCGACCATTCCCAAATGGATCCCCAAAAATGGTAGGCTTATTGTTGGGTTGCCCACATTATTGAAGTGGGTGGTAAAATAGGGGTACCCGCAAATCATCCATTCTAATAGGATTGTCCAATATAAGCCATCCATTTTCAGTTTGGGTATCCCCATTTTAGGACATGGGATACATGGGCAAGTTTAGGTTTATCTTCCAAGCCTGCCGCAGGAGTATATTCTATCAATACCTTCCTTTGTTCAAGCGTGTCAAGTCTTTGTGGCTTTAGTTCCGCCGGTTCCGCACCACGAGACGCACGAAGTATGCAACTACAGCAGCTGGTTCACCCGCGGGTGGTGCAGAACGGAACTCTGGTGCAAGATGATGCTTGGAAATCAGGACCTATGGCTGGAAACATCGTGGGAAAGGTGGGAAATCCTCAACATGGAAGTTTTCGTGGGAAAACCATCTACAAAGGACCTGGATATGCTGAAACTGAAAATGTCCCTTTAATTTTCCCAGTTATTAAACTGGGAATCTACTGGGGTTATGCGGTTATTTTTTTTTTGGTGGTCCCCTCAAACTATGGCTGCACCAGATTGCGGAATCATAGATTTTGCATGACTTGGGGGACACGAAACGTCTTGGAAAAAGTGGCAAACCTGAAAGTAACTAAATAACCGAATACGATAGAATACGGATATGTTGGGCGGATGGCTTATGATAGTTTCAAACATTGTTTATTCATTCCGGTTTGAGGTTGTTTTTCCAATCGGCAGATGCTTTTTATACGAGTTTATATATGTGAAAATAGGGTGCCCGAAAGTCCCGGGGTTAAGTTCAAGATCATTTCTCCCTATTCAATAATGTTGTTGATTTCCAGACACACCCAAGAAACCTGTTCACAGCCAGACCTGATCCCCGCGTGAGGACATGCCAATGATAGTGATCTCAGCCAATGACAAGGTGGACTTTTCAAGGCCTGTGAATTGGGTGGACTGGTTGCTTGGCAGTTGGCTGGTGAAACAACTTTTTTCAAGTAGATGTTATGTTCAACCATGTTCAAGCATGTTTTTCTGAATTGGATGGTGGGAACATTTGGAGAAAAACCCTAGATGAGATGTGTGAAAAAGAGCAACCCACCAATTTGGGGTAAAAAACAATCCGCAGATTTTCCCAAGAAAACTAATGGGATAATGATCTTTATGATGACAGGGGAAGTTGAACCCACCTAGCCCCCTTCTCCGTGCACTTCGCCGTGCGATTCACCTTACCACTTGACAGCTGGTGTCAACTGAGGCTCCCCCATGAAGGAGACTTCTCTTATGGTGGCTGGGTCGAAACCGATTCTTTATATGATTTTGTTGTGGGTGTCAAAATTGGGATATCAATTGACGATTTCAAGGGTGGTCACCCCTTCAAATCCAAGCTCGCGCATGAACAATGCTTTCACCGACCATTCGCAGCTTTTAACTCATGTTCAGCCAGGTTCTCAAAAATCAACCCAAAAATTCCTCACCACCATTCGGATTAATGTTGGGATATACATAGGTTAAATTTGATCAGTCACCATCTATCAATCATACTCTGATCATCATCATCATCATCATCATCATCATCTCCCATTTTTGGGCCGAGGTCGCGACCGAGCGCTGGTGATCAGCATTTTTGAACAAGCTTTGGCTCATCGGCTACTCTGGCTCCAGATGGGCGAACACTGGGACTTGCCGCTCGGAGGGTAGGGAGATGGGGCCCAGATGGGGCTGGATGAATCTTGCCACACCATGAAAAACACCCCCAACATCCAACAGAGGGATAGCTTGATGATGGTTGATGATAGGATGTAGGGATAGGTTGATGATGGTTGATGATAGGATGTAGAGAGAGGGTTGGAGGTCTAAAACTCAATGGATTTGCTTGGCTTGGCTCAGCCAAAAGCAGCTAAAACGATGAGGTACAGATACTTCCTGGCCCGAAGCCAGACGTTGACGGGCCAACCCTTGGTGCGTCGCAGCATGAGCGAATTCATCGAGGACTTCGGATTCAAATCCTTGGAGCTTGCGAGACTTGGTGAAATCGCCGGGTGCCCCTTGCAGTTCAGTCCGCAAAAGATTTGGATCCTTTTAGGGTGAAGTCGATAAAGTTGCTTACGTTGCAAACACATGCCCATCCATCAAACATGATGTATTAGAATTTTGCAAATCAGGTTTAGCAGGTTTAGCATTCACGATTAGATGCTCATTTCGTCGCAAAGAATTAGTCCATCAAACACCTTCGTGATATATCCAACAAATCCTTACTTCAACTTCGGGAAAATTATGTTAGATTGGTCCCACAGATATTTGTCCATGACGGTCCACAGACGATTTGGCAGGGTGAAGATCCATTTGCGCTCGAAATTGGACCGGAGAATTTCGAGAATTTTATGGAAAAATTGTCTATTCAGTCGCCATCTATTTGCCATCTAGACTTGTTGAAAAGCTGAATATCTTGTCATCTATCATTTATCCATCTAATTGCCAAGCAATTGCCATCCAGGTTTTGAATTAGTATGACTAACTATGTTCATCTATTTTCTATGTCCATTACACTCACTATAGGATCTACCATTTAGGTCAGATTTCACCGAGGAAGAAGCAGAAGGGCACCATGGGGCCTCTGTTGAGCGCTGCCTTGGCCGGAGACGTTGAGTTGGTGAAGTCCTTGGTGGAGGCGAAGTGTCAGGCGCTGCCAAAGCCTGGATTTCATAGGGGATTTATATGGAAAACATATGGATTTCATGCGGATTTACCATGATTTTAACCTTCAAGCTCCTTTTTAAAGTAAAAATTGGGATTTACACGGTAAAATGTGGATCTACCCTAGGGGTTATTGGGTGTGCTGTATTCTTGGCGGGTTGCATGCCTGTTCGCAGTATCATCCAATTTTGGGGAAGCAATATTTTGTTTCGCTTTTCCCTGCATACGTAGCGAAAAGACAAGGTTGAAGCTACAATGATTCGGGAACATATTTTGACATATGGCATATGGCAATTTCAACTGGTTGCAAACTCATGTAGTGATAGATTCATAATATGTTTGACTAGGGTTCCAGTGTATTTGGGATGATCCGCAATCGCAATGACGTAATTTTTGCTGTGGAGAGGTGGCATGTTCCACCGAAAGTCATGGCAACCTGATGCAACCAGTCTCAGGTGGATCCGACCCAGTTGGAAGCCATGACGGAGATGGGAATCGTTGGAGGATTGACGCCCTTGCACGTGGTGGTGATGCACGGCTGGCGCTGCCCAGGGGTGCTGGAAACACTCTTGCAAGCTCGCGCTGACGCAAACACGGTCGCCGGGATGGGAATGATACGCAGTTACCAAGTTTTCTCGGGGATTGTGAGATATAAGTCTAGGTCCATCGTCCTGCTGGTCATGATGTTGACTTGTTTTTGGCATCCCCCATGGGCCTTGAATATTTGAGCAGTCCTTCAGGACTCTTTGAAAGTGTTGGGTCTGGATGTTGAGTACCCGGTCTGGGATCCGTAGGATTCCCAACTCATCCTTGGACCCCCTAGCAAGGTAGCCAAAGGCATTCCAGTTCTGGCATATTGCCGCAGCGCTACAGATGTGGAGATCTTGGTGAAGTACAGAGCAGACGTCACTCAGCCATGTGAGCCATTTGGGCCTTCCTCCACCGTACCGCAGAAGGTGCTCAAGACCCTGTTTGGTCAAGCCAGATGATGACTCTTCAAGTCTTGAAATGTCTAAAGTCCGAGTCCGGAGTTTGTGTTGCCCAAAACTTCTGAAACTACCATGCGGGGACCCCTAGACAGCTAGATTGATCCTTTCTAACTATAATAGCTCGGGTCTATGGTGATCAAACGCTAGAGTTAGATGGAGCAATGGAGTATGAACCAACTTATAACTACGGGGGCCCCACCTTGTAGACCTGCTACTCGCCGAGAGGCTGTTCTGAATGGACCTGAAATCCAGTACTGTAGCATCCAGTAGGAATGACTCAGATCTCCTTCGGATCTCTCACAGACAATGTCTTCCTGTGTCATCAAGCATGGCTTGCTGAAAAAAACACAATTTATAGATATTTAATTGATATTTCCATAATTTTACATAGATGATTTTCCCATTGAAACCTCCAAATTTCATTGGGGATTTCCCAGCCCGCCATGTTTGACGCCGTTGCGACTGCAAAATTGCAGATCTGAGGTCAATAAAGCCACTCCACCCCTGAAGGTGCCTGTTCTGGCATTGGCCAGTGGAGAAAATTCCAAGCCAGAGGCGCGGCTGGGGCGGGGCTCGAAGTCGCGGGGAATTTTCATGGCTGGCAACATGTCGAGCATGTTGCAGGACCAAGTACTGTAACATAACTTTAATTGTCTTTTTTGTGAATTGCCCGAATTTGGAGCTTCTTGAGTCCTCCCAAGTTGGACCCAATTTGACGCCAAGCAGCACCTGCCACAATCTCACATTCCCATGTCACCGGGGCATTGTTCAAGGGCATTCAGAGTCGAAGATGTCGAAGACTTGTTTTTTTCCGAGCAAGCAAATCAAATAAAATATCTAGCTCTTGTATCAACCAGGGCCTTTTTGTTACACATGCGTGCCAAGACGTATCCAGTGCGTTGTGGCCGAGCTTTTGTTTCCACGATGTCCCACCACTTCTTAAACAATGCGCAAGAGCCGCAGATGAGCTTGGAAACCCTCCCTCGCCATGCCAAATCCCCTATTTAGATCAGTTCAGATCCATTCAGGCCGACATGATTTTATTTATGAAGATTGAACTTATAATAGAATTGTTGTTTCACAGCCAGGTCAAATGTTTGAAGGGCGTGCCCAAGTATCACAAGTATCACACTATTTCTCAATGGCCCATCTATGTAGCTGAACAAAAGCTTCGGCAACATACTGCATAAGACCAGGCTAGTTGGTTTCCTTAGCCTGAAAAAGAGGCCCAGGACACCTGTAAGGCATCTGAATTATGGCAATAATAGATGAATTCTTGATCAGGTAATGGTTCATTTCAATTTTCAATCTCCAAATTCTTGAAGGCTTAAACTTCCATTGCCAGGTTCAACTATACCAAGGTGTCTCACTTGCTCCATCAGGTGATCGCCAAGTTGTTGGAATGTCGAGCGTCTCCCAACGGCCCGGTGGCGGGCGGCATTGGCACCACCCATCCTTTGTCGCTGCTGTCCATCAATGCCACCAGTAACCCCTACGCGGTGGAAGCGGCCCGGCTACTGGTGAAGGCCACAGCCAATGTCAATCAGCAGTGCAAGGTGCGGGAGAACCAGGGGCCCCTGGTTAAAAGGGACGGTCTCCGGGACGGTCTCGGGCGGCTGGGAAAATGAGGCAGTTTAGCAAGAAATGGACATGAATGACCAGGGAAATCAGACACGCAGTTCTGGTACTATAATTATACTGATAATAATAAGATGATTAAGATGTAACAATAAGATGATGATGATGATGACGACGACGACGATGATGATGATGATGATGATGACGATGACGATGCTGATATTGGTAAGTTCCTGACTCCTGGAACCAGGTGGCCTTGTTAAGATTTTGTCCAGTGGCACCGCCCATTTTGGGCCAGTTTTTCTGTTCTCCTTCCAGGCCAGTGGGGTGTTCTATGCCTTGGAAATGCTGAACCGCACATACCTTCACTTTGCGACTTGGATGACATGAAATCAGCCGAAGATGCAAGGGACCTCTGGTGGATACCGGTATACCAGTCACTGGGTAAAGAAGCCAAAATACAGTCTGACAGGTTGAATCAAAATTTGATCAGGTTTTTCTTATGGCTTCAATTTGTGTTGGGTTTATGTTTCGTATACGCCCAATAGTCATGACACTCACTGACCACACCCCGATGGTATGCCCGTGACCCTAATCCCATCTCCCCTCTTTGGTTGATTTGGCTCATTGGCTGGTTGATAAATCCATACCGAAGCTCCACCTTTGATGCAATTTTTACTGTGCTTGCCTGTAGATTCCCTGAACAAATCATACATCATCCCATTGATTGCAGTATTCTTGGTTATATAGTATCTCCCATGTTTCCCGTTTGTTCAATTATTCTTGCTGAATATCTCAAGTTGTTGATGCTTAACCCATAAAGTTTCCCTCTAAATCATCCAGTTCTGTACCTATTTTGCTCAGTCAAATCCGGACTTGTCCCAGGCGCGTCCCCGGTCCAATCTGATGCTCTTCACAGCGGAGTGGAGCACCTCCCCTGGGCTTCGCTTGTTTGTTCGGCAGCGCTGAGCTGGTCAAGTTGCTCTTGGAGCACCGAGGAGACGGAGACTACCCTCTGGTAATTTAACATAGCTATTGAAAATTGCTATTTATAGTGGATTTTCCCATTAAAAATGGTGATTTTCCATAGTTATGTTAGTTTACCAGAGGGTAATTTCGCGACACTAAGGGGCGGAAGGAGGCCGACAGGAACGGAGGTGGGGTGAGATACATGGATTGACATAGGTAGATTCGGTGGATGGATGTAACGTAACGCGATGCAAAGCAATGTATATAATGTAATGCAATGTAATGTGATTAATGTGATACAATAGAATGTAACCATGCAATTGTAATGTGATGTGATACAATGTAGCGATGTTTATATTAAGCCAAATGTTCAGTGAAGATGTCATTGTTGATGTAAGTGCAAATGTTAATGCATTTAAGTGCAGTGTAATGTATGTTATGCCTTGTTATGCAATGGTATGTGTTGCAATTTAAATGTGACGTGCTCTGATGTACTGTGATATGTCATGTCATGTCATGTTATGTCATGTCATGTCATGTCATGTCATGTCATGTCAGTCATGTCATGTCATGTCATGTCATGTCATGTCTTGGCATGGCATGGCATGGCATGGCATGGCATGGCATGGCATGTCATGTCATGTCATGTCATGTCATGTATGTTACGTTATTTTGTTTTGTTTTATATCGGGTTATATGGGTTATGTTTTATGTCATGTGATCTGATGCTATATTATAGTGTGTAGTGTTTTGCAATGTAAGGCAATGTACAACGAGGCAAGATATGGCATGTTGTGGTCATGGTTTGTATTTTGCTACAAGCTGGCACCCCAAACGTTGCAAGTTGGTTTATAACTCCATCTATAGTTATGACTCCCATCAACATTCATAAACCAAAGCGTTATTGCAGTGATGTCGACAGTTAAATATAGTTATGACATCTTGTGGCCACCATTTGTTGTCTATAGTTTTGATATTTCGCCACCATATGGCCACCATATGGCCACCATAGACCTGTTGACGCTTGGCGGCGCCGCCCTCCAGGAGACCTTGAGGTGAAAAACTCACGGGGCCATACGCCCAGACAGCTGGCGAAATCTCAGGCTGCGACAAACGCAGCACCGCGTTTCGCTGGATTTTCACATCCTTAGAAGATATCGTGTGACGATACAATTGAAAAATACGTATATGATAGTCACAGTCACACTATATGATGATATTATATACTATCATATTGTAAGATACTTATATGATAATTTTGTTTGATAAGTAGTTATATATATATGGTGGTGATTATATATGATATGTTTAAACTATATTTGATACGTACAGATAGATAGACGCGTGTACGTTATATAGAGAAAACATGAAACAACCGCTACAAAAAACTCTATAATTATATGTCTAAGTAAGCACTAGTAATACGTTAGTTTTGATTTGTATGGTATTACACGATTGTGTCCCTTTCCATGTCTGTCCTCTGGGATTTAAACACCTGCGGCCGCAGTATATGGCCAGAGCTGGACTACTATAAAGCATGGTGAGCCGCATGTGAACGACATTGTTTCTAGGGACATCGCATGAAAACATATGATCCCATTCCATCGGAAAAACATATGGGAGAACATGTATCAGTGCTCATGTGTGACTATCGATTTTATGTTCAGACAACCGCGGCCACAATACGAAAAATGCTACATTGCAATGCTATGTACAGTATACATTCATGTACACGGAAAACCGTATCCTAACCGCACATTTCCCGTCTTTTTTCTGGTGCTTTGACGTACAGATCACATTCAAATTCTGCTTTTGCTCGCAATGACAGGTCTACCGGCCTACCCGTAGTACCAGCAAATTGTTCAAATGCTTTGGCCAGAGAAGGTGTAACGAGGTGTTGCAAGGTTGGGACAAGTGGCTCCAAATTATCAAAGCCGCAATGACAAAGAAAATGGTCAAGGATATTACATAGCCAAAACAAGGAATATCTAATGGTTTCCCATGAGTATTGGATACCATATGGAATATACAAGACATCTATACTCAGGGACAATTCATGAAATTCCCCAATCAGACCCATACGCCATACATATATATATATATATGTTTTGAATTATATGAACTCTTATGTTTTGTTTATATATATACATGTGTGTATCCTAAGTGCAGATAGATAGATTGATTGATAGATAGATTGATAGATTTCTTTATACAAGTGTGTATAGTGTCTACACACCTTGCATGTAGAATCATGTAGACAGGTGCAAAACGACAAAACCCCCGTCATTTCATGCCAAAAACAATGGTCTCCCGTGAATGTTCCTTTCAACAGATCCATTGTTGATGTGTAACCCCTGAATTTTCCCCAGAGAAGTCATCCAGTTTGAAAACCACTGAACCCCACTATTTATTTGGAAGTTAGGATTTCATGTTTGATACTTTTTTTCATGCTTAATACTTTATCCACGATATCCCCCCACAAAAATTATCCTGTTCCAGACACCAACGAGAAAAAGCCAGAACCTTCGCCCAAAATCATCCAGTTCTCTACCCATCCACCCCCCAAACAAAAGTCTACCAATGGGATTCCGATAATAAACACTACCCTCTGGTAAACATACAAAAAGCTATTGAAGCCATGGCCATAGAACTAGTGGATTTTCCCATTAAGAATGGTGGATCTTTCCATAGAGTTATGTAAACATTTAACAGAGGGCAAATGATATGTCAGTCCCTGGCCCAAACAGCAAAACACTGGCGACGGTCAGGACGTCTTGGAAGTGATTCATCGCTTCGAGCATGTCGAGCACGCGGCGCCTTGGTGTTGGAGGCTTTCCCTAGTGGAAATGATGGGAATTACCTTCTGGCAATTTGACATAGCTATTGGAAATTGCCAAATTACAGTTGATTTACCTGTTGAAGATGGTGATTTTCCATGGCTATGTTAGTTTACCAGAGGGTAAATGGTATATTTTATGGGATACTAATAGGGATTCAGTGGTTAATGGGCCATTTAACCATGTGTTTTTTAAATATATAATAATATATATATATACTATATATATATATATCTATATAATTAGTATATAATGTATATGATATATTTTATATATACATATATTATATACATTGTATATATTAAATTATATATTACATATATATATATATGATTTATAGTTGATTTACTTATTAAGATGGTGATTCTCCACGTTTTTTTTTGGGGTAAGGGGGTACACAACTTAGCAACTTCTGGGTTTATCATGATTTATCTGAAAATAGGTTTCCCCGAGTAGCCCCAAATCCCAGGGATGACGTTCACTTGCCACTCTTTGATACTCTTTGGTAATCCCCACGTTCAGGGAAATTCATGTTTAAATGAAAAGTATATGAAGAAGTGGGGTCTGAACCAAGAATGATGTGTTGATAAAATGCTTTTAAATAGGTAAAACCATGGTAAACCAACGTTACTAGCTGGTGTCATTGGATTGCTTTACAGAAGGGAAATTGCAGGAACCCCCAGGGTCGTTGTGGTAAAAATTCTCCCCCGAATCATCCCAATAATGGCAGGGTCATGCCCAACCACATGTTTGACCTCAGATGTTTACCCCACATGTTCGCTGCAAGTTTGACTAGGTCTAGTCTAGGTATTTGATTAAGTAATGCGGTCCCTACTGGCCCTACTGCTTACAGAGGCGCGAAAATTGATGCCATGGAAACAACACTTATTTTTTGAAATGAACATGTTTTTCTTACTTTTTTAGGATGAGCAAATACCAAAAAGGGCAACTTGTCAACCAACATAGCCAAACATGAGGAAGGATGTAGTCATTGTCGAAGGAAGTTTAGAAGTCAAACTCCGACAAAATGGACAGATGAAAAGCAGAGATGGGAAGAGTCAGAGAAGAGAAGAGAAGAGAAGAACAAAGAAGATCAAAGAAGAGAAAGTCAGAAGAAAGAAGATCCAGGTGCGAGAAAAGGTAGGAAAGTCGCGAAATACTATTTTTTTTCCAATGATTTGTGGCTCCGGAGGGTCGAAAGGTAGGCTTGCTAAAGCGGCCGGTGCGGAGCCATCTGGGCAGATGAGAGATGACAAATTGCACGCCGTTGTGGCGCAAAGCACATCTGCAAGTCAAAATGTACAAAGCACCTCAGCTTCGGAGCACTTTTGGAAGCTGCGATGTCGAACAAAATGCACGCCGTTGTGGTGCGAAGCACATTTCCAAGTCAAAATGTACAAAAGACCGCAGCTTCGGAGCACTTTTGGAAGTTGCGATGTCGAAAAAGTGCACGCCATTGTGCGTTTCTCCTACAACTCCACTACGCTACAACTACAACTGCACCACACCGCACTACATCCAGATTGCAACCACTCTAAAAAAACACGGCTCCAACCACCTTTCGGTCCATCAGTGGATTCGCTCTGCCATCCGTTTTTCGCAACAACAAACCTCTCCTATAGGTTTCCTGATTTTTGAAACTTCCGCCGCCGCCTTGTGCGGCACTACTGGTATATCTGCAATATCTGTAAGCCAACCAGTGAATGATTGATAAACCATCAAAGGGGAGTGCAAAAGATGAGGGGTAGACGGAATGATGAACAGGATGTCAAATTAAAAGGAGGTTCGACCCGTTTTCTTGTTTGGACCAAGTTGTTCATTCCATAAAAACTGGGTGTTGTGTCTCAATCACCCCTATTTCATTGGATTGGTTGAAGGGAAGAACCTACAGGAAACCCATGTCATTGTTGGTATAAAACATTAAAAACATATGTAACAAACATCGTTTCCTTTAAATTTTGCCTTCAACCCACCCATTGACTATTCTTTGGGACTGATTTGGTGTTTGAAACGTGCCCCCGAAAGCCGGCCCTGGAATGCTCCAGCCAAGGCCGATGATGACGACGAATGGCAGGTAGATCTAGAGGCCAAGTTCACGGATTTGATGCCAAGCATTCAGATCCAGCAACGCGTCGCAAAGGTGCAAAGTTGACCTGAAAAACATCAAACATCCACGGCATCTCTCAGAATTGAGAAATGATGAGGGATTCATTCCGGTTCATCTCAGGATCAAACCTTGCGGAAAAAATGGTTTGGAACAACCAACATGATGACCCGCGCAGAGTTTGAAGAGGGTTTGTGCCGGCTGCACTTTGCTCCGCCATCGTCGTTTTTTTTCTAATGAATTGTCTTGTTTGCGGCTGGGATGTTTGGCATGAAGTGGTTCCAGGCAGAAGCCGGACGGGGCCACCTTCATGACCAGTCAAAATCAGGTTTTTGTGCGGTGACCCTGCGGTAAGCAAACATTGTTGGTGGGAAAAATGGGGAAATCAATTCAAATCATCTATAAATGGGGGACTTTCCAGCCATGTTAATTTGATTTTTTAAAGATTTGAAACTCATTGAATGCAGTTTCCTTTGACCTCATCCCAGCCAGCGAACCTTTGGAAAACCATCCTCAGGGAAACAAACAGGATTTGCCCACATTCCAGGATGCCATCAATAGGTACAGTAACATTGATACAGTAAGGGTCAGTCCCTTTGAAACTATAAATGCAACTGTTGTAAGAACCGTATTAAAAATTATATCTATATATAAAAAATTGGCGTTTGGACATGACGTTTCGATGATGGATGTTCCGGCCAGCCATGGTTTGTTTCCTGGAGAGACTAAGTGACTAAGTCTAAGAAATCCTATGATTTTTAATCGTCCGAGGGACGTTGCCAACAAGGGCCTGACCCCCAAGACCTTCGCAGATCTTCGCAGACCTGCGCGAGAAGCTTCGCAGTCTGCTGAGCGTCTGGGATGTTTGGGTGGTGAATCAAGGCATAGTGCTCAGTGCTTAGCAGCTTTCTTGGTCAAGGGCTGACAGATCTTGCTGGAACATGAGGGGGCCTACTCAGAGACATGTTAGACCAAAGATCTCAGGAAAACCCTTTGTTTCAGGATCAGATCTGAAAAATAGCCATGTACAGCCGAAACAGGGGCCAATACCAGCTGGGCAGAAGTGTAAAGTACTCGCACAGATTTCCCAGGGCTGCGCATGTGGTATTACTGTATCAGCACTCTTGGTTAGGGCACAAGCCCATTGTTTAATGGGTGTATTCAAGTTTGAGCTACCTTAAACTTAAACTATGTTCAGACTATTCACTGCTCCCATGCACGCCCTCTTTCAATTCTTTCATAGGCTGTCGCGATGAAACGCGTGTAGAGAGTCTTTTTTTGTGGAATTCATGTTGCATTTTGCTGGAAGTCTGCATTTGCTGAAAATCCGCCGTGTTCGGCTGAGATTGATGTCCACAGTCGATCAGGGCACATGAGGTTGAAATTCCGAGGTGCAAGCTCTTACAGCTGCCGGAGCCTGCAGGCTCCAGATGTGGGAAATGTTGTGAGGTTGTATCCTAGGTGAATCTCAGTGCGCACCGTGGTAATTTCGAAAAAGAAGCACAGCAATGGGGTTTTGAGGCTCAACTTGGGCTCAACATATTGAGACTTAAAGTTGATCCATAGCCTCAAATGGACAATGTGCTAGTGCCACATGCCCTGATGAATATCATTTGCATGTTTTGGATATTTTTAGGCTGCTTGGTACAACCATGTATCCCATTACTTCTTGGAGGGAAAGCTGCAGCAAACCTTTGGACCAACCCATTGAAACCTGAGTATTTGTTGGTTTCCGCATTATATATGTATTATATTGTTTTATAATCCCATCATATCCCCAAATAATCCCATGAATACTCCCCACAAAAAGGCGATTCTGGTTAGCAAGAAAGTTATTTTTCAATCAACCCATGGTTCATGGTAATGAATGATATGGAATGTACATCAATGTACCTAATGTAGCCCAAGCTGTGCCATGGTTTCGCAATGGTTTCGCAAAAGGGTGCCCAGGCAGGGCTTCGACGCCGCAAAGGAGACGGGAAGGACCTGAGATTCTTCTGGATTTATCGATTTACCCTCCTGTAAACTCTTGCAAACTAACATGGATGTGGAACATCACCATTTTCCATAGAGTTCACCTATCGAACTAAATAGGCTATAATTAGTCCGGATATTTGTGTTTGTTTACCCCAAGATGTCGACCAAGAAAACTGGGCATTGGTCACCTGGCTGGTAGATTTGTGTGTTTTGTTTTCTTTTCTAAGGTTCGATTTTCCCCATTCTTGACCGCAAGATGAATAGATCAACATAGATCAACAACTGAACCAGGGTGTTGGGCGTTAGTATTTAGAGGGCAGGGATGAAGGGTGTTTTGACCGGCAACTCTGCGGTAGTAGACCATATACTGACTGTAAATTGATTTCAACCAACAAGATTGAGGAATTGTCAGGTGAACCGACTAGTGAATAAAAAGAGGTATATGATGAGTAAACCACCTTGGCGGGCTGGCGATGTTGCGTGTATGAGCTGCCCCGTACCCTCTTCAATGATTGCCATGTGGTACTTGTTAGTGTTCAGCATTGCCTTAGTCTCAATTACCGCACTCCTAGCATTCATGATTCATGCAAACCTGGGCCGGCCGTTTTGAAAACAAACATTCTAAAAGTTGCGATGCATTTGTATGAGCCTGTTCATGTTCGGCAAAGAGAGATGAACGCCCGAAGCACGTTTGCAGGATCTTGGCCCTTCCCAGCGGACACCCCAAGTTGGCAGTCAATGGTGGCTAGCGGTGTGTGCTGTCACATTGGCCGCGAGTGTGATTTGGCAGGCAAAATGAGGGCAGGAACCTGCTGAAACACCTCCTAAAAAGAAGGCCAGCATGAAATCCTTGTGCTTTCATAGTCTTGGTTTCGCTCAATATCATCCCAAAAAGTCCAAGGTCTCTTGAGGATAGGTCTTTAGCTTGAGACCTACTGGGAAGAAACGAAACACCTATTTGGGGACTTTGGATATAATGTACAACTTGAAAAATGGCACGTCGTTTGAGCTTTCGTGCCATCAAAATGCCTTGCTCATTCTGACGCACTTATTTCTTTCCTCTTGACGTGCACATTTTGCGAGCCCCCGTCCACGACCTGATACGTTTTTCCACGACTTTAATGTATCTTTCCACGATTGCTGTCCGGGGGAAAGTCCGGCACCATGTGCTTTTTATTTTTGATTATTTTTTCTTCAGAACAGAATGGGAACTGTTTGGCAATGGCCCAGTGAGTTTTGCATGCAGATCTTCAACCCCAGCTGCAGCACGCTTCCCTAAATGAATACGTCTTTAGATTCCCATGTAGGGATATTAATATATTCCTTACATCAGCGGGGGAAGCATGAAAACATGGGAAAAGCACTGGATTTTGATGTCCTCCCCTTCTTTTGGGACATGAACGGTCGCATTTAGCTTCGGATAATAATCCCAATTGACCTATTTCCATGTATTTCCCGCGGTTCAACCAACCAGTAAGGTCATGTGGTAAACCCAATCATAACCCATCCCCAACAAGGAAACATGAATGACTGGCAATGAATCTGTAAATATCATCCTGAACATGGTAGGTTTATGATTGGATTTAGCACAGATGATCCGGGCAGGTGATCCAAGGATGCAGGTGGCTATCTTTAGCACAGATGATCCGGTGCTGGTGGCTATCCTCTAAGGCCCTGGCGGTCCTCGTCGTGCATCCTTGGAGCGAAGCTTCCGCAAGGCTTCTGGAGTCGTTGGTGGACTCGCTGGGGAACGTGGTGGCTGCAGTGGAGAACGAGGAGGGGTCCCTGGAGCTGGAGGCAGTGGCTTCGTGGTGGGCAAACGGTTATGGCCAGTTCATACGGGATTTCTTATATCGGGAAGTAATGATTATGGTGGTAAAGCTTATAAATGATATTTGCTACCAACCAAGAAAAATGGGAATTTTGACCAACAAAGCCACAGTTTTGGGGGGATAAAACCAATAAATCCCAATACTTCTTTGGTACTGTAGTCACTTCATCACTGTTTTCAAGTCTTTTGGATTTGTTCCACCCATTGAAGGACCAACGATTTTCTAATGATTGACCATGAAGGGTAATTACAATCCAGTCTCCAGATCCTGGGGGGAAACTGCATGCCTCGTAGGAGCTGGGACTAAAGCTTTTGACCAGTGGCCCCTGTGTCATTGGAGCCCAGTACTTGCAGGAAGACGTCAAAGAGCAGGTGAGACATAGGGACAGAAAGAAAGCACCGAAAGCACCTATAGTTTAGCATGATATTTCAATATATTTCATATTTTTCCCAATTCAGACTGCGATTTGAGGCATGCTTTATTTTTTGAGAAAGTCACCTGCAGATTTGTCTTGGTTGGCAGAGCCTTGTGCCAGGCCGCGTTTACTGGATTCGCCTTGCAGGAAGCAGTGCTATTCGTGAACCGTTCCTTGAGGCCATGGTTGCCATGGGAATGATGCCGTTTGATTTGCTCATCGATCTATCTATATATAAATATTAATATATATATATATTATATTATATTTACATATATGTATATATTATATATATATATCGGCAAAAGTGGGACAAAGTTCAAAGTGGGACAATGGGTAAGCCAAGAGTGTATGCAACGGTTGGTTTGAAGTATCTCGAAATCATATATGCTATACTATGCTATACTTGCTGGTTGGTATTTTCATCCTCCTTTCTTTTCTGCATATAAGTCTTGGATGATGATTCCACTTGACTTTGAAATTTGCGATGAGTGGCTCAACCACCAAACAAGGCATAGTATATATATATATATGTGTGTGTGTATGTATCTATCTATCTAATTCTTAAGATTTTTGGATGGTTGGTTCCACCCCGATTCTATGTATTCTACACATCCCTACACAAGATCCACCCTGCAGGCACGTCTTACAACTGGGTTTGGGCGCTGGGGTGGTGCCCAACTATTTGCGGCTGCATGGAGTGAAGGCCCATTTCTACCGGCCGTGAGCTGGTGATGGTGGCAAAGCATATGGGGTTTACCCTCTGGTAATTTGTTACATAGCTATTGAAAATGGCCATTTATAGTGGATTTTCCCATTAAAAATGGTGATTTTCCATAGTTATGTTAGTTTACCAGAGGGTAACCACCAAACGTGCTAATCATATCCATGTGGAACCGAACCGCAAGAAAAACATGCTTTGAACACAGTTGAATCTGAAATGTCGGCAGCAAAGATAGATGCGGAAAGCTGGGAAGTTGATTGTCAGGTCAAGTATGTTCATCACCAAAAATTGTGGTTTTAAGATTTTTAAGCAACTAGCAGCCGATCACAGATGCACTGGTCGTTCCTAGGATCGAAAGAGCGCCCAATGATATGACACATACATACACATATTTTGCACAGTCTCAGTCTGCTTCCGTACTCTATCCCTATACACGTTCCAATCTACCATCTATTCATACCTTGCATTCTTTCTGTGCCTTCTATGTCATTGCATATCTAGCCATCGAATTTACAACTAGAGGGCTCGCATCTCGGACATGATGGCCGCCCCTGCAAGTTCCACTTTATGTTGCAATCCCCCACTTCAGTGGTGCATGCTCCCAACCTTTGCTGATGCGTGTTTTTTAAGCACACTTCCATTAACCAACTGTTAGCTGGTGGTTGGGATTGGTGGTTTTGAATCCAAGGTTTTTCCCTCCACAGAGGTTGTAGACACCCCGGGAGGCCCAAGGATTGCCACACCAGGTGGATGTGATGGAAGTCTCCGAGGTCGTGCTGCAGATGGCGGAGAAGTACTTTGATTTCAATTCCTGCTGCGCTGATCCCAGGGCGGATCCGGGCTGCGAGGTCCACACGGTCATGGCATGTCGACAGCGCTTCATGGATGAAGACTTGGGGAAATCGTGGGGCAGGCCGACCCAAATGGCAGAGGCTATCTGAAAGGTATGTAGATTATGTAGCCATATGTAGCCGTCAAAATCTGATCGCTTCTTTCTGATCTTGATTCATAGCCTGACTGTCTAACTCAATGGATGTTAAACGGTTGTGGTGCTGCACGGAGAGACAAAGTCAAGACTGGTCAGTTCAGACCTCGGAGAGATAAGGATATGGCCACACACGTCTGGGTGAAGCAAGGGCGCTCCTGTTTGGCGACAGCAAGAGCTGCTTGGAAGTCTCTCCCAAGCTCGATCAACCACAAAGTGTTCAAAATCAATAGCAAATGCCTGACCCATAGCTGGTTGGTGGTTTTAAGATGTTTTAAGTATATGTGTTTTTGTAACCAATCTTTGGGATGCTTATCCCGATTTTATCCCGATTGGGTTTGGTATCCTCCAGTAGGGTTGGATGCTTGGTGTGGGAAGGGTCCACCATGGGAATCTCCTGAAATCCAAACCCCGAGGATTCGATGTGGTCATCAGCGATGTGTGCCTTGCCGGTTGGTTTGCTGAACGAGTTTGCACGGCTGAAGAAGTGTGTGTTTTCAAATGATGGTCTGAAGCAACATTGATGGCTTCCGTATTTTTGGGACATTACTGGATTATTTATATTGCTATTTTTGATGTTGATATTATTTGCTATTTGCAAAACTGAGACGTTGTGACACTCAGCCAGTTTGGATAGGGACATATATATATATATTATATATATATATCCCCGCGCCTCTTGTGTCATGGAACTTACTTACGTCTCTTGATCCATTTCCGAGGTTCATTGGTTCCAACCCTGGTCATTTGCACAGTGTTGAAGTCTTCCAGCGCATTCAACAGCACTGGCTGTCGCCTGCTGGAGTGCTCTTAGTCAACTTTGTTGGTATCTCGGCCGGGCCTAGGGAAGCAGTGAATCTATATGGGTCACAACTGGAGGCCCAGATCAAACCCAACATGATCAAGCATCATAGATGTTCATAGATTTTCAACATTGGTCATTGGTCTTTGCTAATGTGGGTAAAACAATGCAATTCACCACCTATGCCTGCGAATGGTAAACATACCACCTATAAAAACGGTGATGACTGGGGGATGGTTTATTGTTGTTTTAGGCATGCGGCTGATACGCCCCCCTTGGAAGGGTTGCTTATTTTGAGATGTGCCATTCACGATCCCTTGGAAGGGTTGCAAATTTGCAAGATTAAGGTTGCGAAAATGAGGGTTCAAGAATCGAATTTAGGGGTTGGATGTCTTAAGGTTCCTGCACGATGCGTTACGTAGTTAACATGTTACAATCTTGCACATGCTCTCTTATGGTCAACAGGGGTGGGGGGTGGGGGGTATAATCACGTTCTTGACGAGTATAACACAGGGCCCACGGAACTTGCTGCCGTTGTTAACTTGTTGCCTTTGTTAACATGTTTGAGTCTCTGCTCGCGGCTCTGCCGACAGCACTTTGGCACTGATGCTTCGAGAGGTGAACAAAAACGGATGGATGATCTGGTGGATGTTTGCATGGGAAACTTGAACATCATAAATTCCTAATGTTCTTTTTAAAGCACTCGAAGAACATAAGAACCAAATTGATCACCGCGCAGGCGAAATGCATTTTTTTGACCTTGAGTCACACGCCTGCCAATCGAAATTAACGTCCATGTTGCAAACGTTCTTTGACAAGTCCCACAAATGCCAGCATTTTGTCTCTTAGCCTCGAACATCTCAATTTCAAATTTGTCACCCTTACAAGGGCGGCGAGTCAACCGGTTACCTTGTTTTACCCACATTAGTTAGTGATAATAGCAGCAATCTTATGTCTTACATTTTCAGGTGCAGCTCCCGAGAGGCAACAAAATCATCCGAAGCAATGATAGCAATGATTGGCTCTGCATTCGGGGCATCTGCATTGTTGAACAAATTTTTCAGCGGGCAACATGAATGGCCATTTCAGGTACCAAAATATGGCTGGTTGGTGGTTTGGAACATGCTTTATTTGTCCATATATTGGAATAATAATTCCAACTGACTAATATTTTTCAGAGGGGTTGAAACCACCAACCAGGCTTTATTGGTACAGTATAGCTCTACTTCAGGGTCCTAATTTCCCAACACCTGAGGCTTTCACAGGGGCAACGGCAGCCATATCAGCCAAAAGCTGGCGCGAACATTGCGCCAGGCCCATTGATCGACATTTCTGCAACTGGCACCTTTGGTAATGGACAATCAATACAGAGGTTCCCAAAAAGATCGTCATGTTGCTTCTCGCAGATTTTGTAGATGATATATATCAATTAATAGTTTATACTGTCTATAGTCATTTAACGTTGTTGATGTGTACAGTTTCCAGCTATATCCATTCTTGAGGTATCATCAGGTATCCATGTTTTTATTTGTTGCCTTTTTTCAAATAAATGTGGGACTGCTGGCTGATGTTTTTTGTTGACTGCATCTCCCGCAACCACACATGTTGGGCAGTTTTCGTTTGGATGTTTTCAGCCACATTCGTCTGGCTGGCGACGTGTTTGGTTGATCTGTAGTTCTGACGCACATATGGTTTTGACCACGGTCTTCCCAGCAATTTTACTTGAGAACCCATTGTAAACAGATGTCGCTGCCAGCCTGGCTGGTAGATAGACGGGTAACACCCGCTAAACAACCAATATTTTCTGTAAATGAATAATGGCAATTGATATGCCAAAGCGGCCCCTCTACTCTTCCCAACATGAGATCATTGGTGCAGTTTGTTGGCATTTTCCTTGGGTAATATATTGGGTCATATTTAAAGCATCATTGTGAAAATCTTACCAACAAAATCAAGAAATATAATGAAATATATAGCTATTTGGGTCGCTCCAGTGCAGGCCCAATATTTTCAGCCACCATATGATGGTCAAGTCCCCATTGATCCTGAAGATCTTCCGTTTCGGCATTGCGCCAGGTCTTTTCTCATACACGCTGCTACCGCGACGAGGACCCTGCAGAGAAGCTAGACAGTGCCGCAAATTTGGTACCCTGACCTAGCCTTGGATAGGATTGCTTCAGTGTGATGGATAAGAATAATAGGGAAGTCAAGGTCAAGGGAGGGGACTTTGAGCTTGAGAACTGACATGGCCCCAGACAACTTGGCATCGGTCCAAGCTAAGCACCCAAGAAAGAACCGTTCTGCTCATGTCTTGGACGTATCACAAAGGTGTATAGGACTTCGGCTCTAGTTTTCTTCACATTGCAGCACTCAAATGGAACATCATCAGCCCCTGATGGTCCCATCAAGTCAACCCAGTGCTGAGCCATCATAATTCCTCCTTTCACGATATTTTTTAGATGGATGTGCCTGAAAATGAATGGCACCCCGGCACCCCCAATTTTTTGCATGTTTGTTACGGGGAAAAATGACGATGAACCATGGGAAATATATGGAAATATAAGATATACTGCCACGGGCCCGTGGGATTTGGCCCAGATCCCTGGCCTTCAAAAGATTCTAAGGTTTGCTTCTCCTCTACAGAGCCCTTTCGCTTTGTTGTGCCCAAGACGGGCGACTATGGCGCTCCACCGCCCTTGTCCAGCTTTTGGATCATGAAGAATTTTCAACTTTGGGAGGTGGGAAAGGGACTGCAACAAGGATGACCCGCAGGATTTGCCATTAACAAGATACAGAACTATTGTTATTATAATGTGTTTGTTTGATGCAGAAATAGCTAGTAGCTACTAGCAACTATCCCACGTTTATACACTTTCATTGGTTCTATCATGTTCTATCCTACTGTTCTTGGTCATGATGCCCCTGAATACTTTGCTACGCCCTTCTTTGTTTTTCCGAAGGTGTGGAAAAACACCGTCACAATGCTCATCGTATAGTGACTCTAGTGAATGCAGCTCCTGGGTTTGAACCTTTTCATCCATGTTGCACAGTTGCTGAAATTTGGGTTTGTCTGAAAATAGGGTATATTCCCAATTATAGCCATTTAATAGGGATAATGATCATTAACCATTGGGTTTAGGGGTACACTATTTTCAGACACACCCATATGATGTTCGCTATGTTCGCTGCCGCAGTGACATGATGTGGCCCATCGCCGGGAGGTGCTACTCCCCGATGATGGCGAAGAGATCTTGCAGGTGGGCCAGCATTGCCGACAATTGCCTGGAGGGAATCCATAGGAAACAGCCCCGAAAAGATACAAAAGTAACTCATCACTATTTTATCATTCTACTTTTCTATCTTGGGGTTATAATGTGGTGACTTACCCCCATATTTCGACCTAAGGAATGCCTTATGAAATGTTCTTTCATGTTTTGCTTATCCGCCATAAAATGCCATCCATCACCATCCCCATGGCCAGAGATACCTGGGATGCCATTCCCAGTACTTCAGGACGCCCAGAATGAGCTGATGGATCCTGGCTCTCAAGCAGACATCCAAGCCCATTTTTGGTCGCATGCCCAGCGCCTTGGCAAAAACGTTGATAGCAAAGATGAGTACTGTAAACTTGGGTTGTGTAGGGTGCTTACATGTGCTTACTATCTATATATATATATATCATACATAATATATTATATATATATGGTATGGTTGAAATACATGAGGATACAATACAGAGAGAGAGAGATGCAACTTACTTATCATGTTTATGATATTTATGTATCCTATTGTTTGTTTATTGATTGTGTGTTTATATGTGTTTATAATATTGTTTGGTGGTGGTTATATGAATTATTTATGAACGCATTTTTCACAGAGCAGATCACAACATTTTGTATTTGCAGGGCACCTTGGACCAGCCATGCAAATTTTGATGAGGACCTTGATCCCGCCCAGAGTGCCTTGCCTGCACCAAATGCAATTGCATCATACCCCAGATGATAGCCACTTGACATATTTAACAGGCCCATCACAACAGCGACAATGACAAACAGTTTGGCCCGGAGAATCGCCCCTTTGTGATTTGGAAAGTAGCACTTACATACAACCAATTGGCAGGGGTTGATGTTTTTATGGAGGAGGTGTATGTTTGGAATACTAGACAATTTGTTCATTCAAGCCGCAAGGGTGTTGCAGGTTTGGAACAAAATCAATTCATCAAAAAAGACAGTGGCTTCTACTAAGAATAAATGATATATTTAAAGATAATTGAATAGCAACTGCAGCCCGCAGAAGTCGAGTGGCGGAAGTTTAGGATAGGAGGATGTCTTCCTATAGATGTTATTTTTTTCCTCAGGGCAAAGACACACCGCAACCTTTGGTTCAACCACGTGCGGGAACGCTGGGCGCACATCTTTGCCAAGCGCGGTGTGGAGTTTGCGAAACTCTGGGCCAACAATGTTTTGTGGTGACCCCACAGCTTCGCTTGACATCTCTTTCTCTGGAATTTCATTCTCTGGACACTTCTTTCTCTCCCCATCTCTTTTTCTTGACGTGTTTCTAAAGGACGTCTAGCTCCAGCAATTCCATTGCGCTGAGCAACCACTGGCTTGCAAAAGGATGCAAGAGGAAAACGGGAGCCGCCAAATTTTGCAGAAAGCATCGCCAAACAGAAGCATTGACGAAGTAATCCGAAAGGGCTAAGCATTTCATGGATTTCAATCAGACTAGCACCAGCGCACAGGCACACGTCAAAAAACGAACGGCAACACACAAAAGCATCAGCGCACACGTGAGCTACTAGAACCTTTCAGGACTCCAAAGGAAAACGTGATTTTGAGGCTGTATTTGAACCTTTTGAGCGGCTTAAAGGTGCAAAAGCGATGTGCAACTAGAAATGCCAAATCCAAGATAGATAAGTTGGTTTGGACCTACGCCTTATCATGATAAAATATTCAATAATTTGTTATCGTATGTTATCAACATTATTCATTATCATCATTATCCGATTTATATGAGCCGGGATCTAAATTACCGTAATTTAAATTTGTATGGAACGTTTATTGCAGATATTTATTTTGGATTTTTCTTGGAAAACAATAGAGGACGTCCTAAAAATGATGCCCCCTTATCTTACCAGGATTTGATTGAGACTTTAATAGCGCTTCTATCCTCAAATCAGTGATTTGGAGACTAGACAAGCTGTAGTTGCTGCTGCTGCTATTTGCTGCTGCCGCTATTTGCTGCTGCCGCTTCTGTTGCTGCCGCTTCTGTTGCTGCCGCTTCTGTTGCTGC